TCTGCTTCCTTTTATCGCGAAAGGGTTAAGCGCCTCTTGGAGCGCTCTTTCCATTGTTGACTTTTAAGACGAAGAGAATTCCTCCGCCCTGCCCGATGCTCCGATCACCGAGTCGATCCATCGGGACTTGCGCTGCCCCTGCTCGCGCGCTGCATCCAAACTCGCTCCTAGGGAGAACGCGGCCTCGGGTACTATTGACGCGGCCGCCAATGGCGTTCCCCTTTTTACAATAATATCCTCGGTCGAGGGATTACAAATTTCCACGATCACCTTCCCTTCCTGAACCTAGCACAGTGTTCTAGTCACTCGGACAGCCGCGTTCGGGTCCACCAGGCCTTCTACTAGGACAGTGACCCCATCCTCGACCGTCCCTGCTATATTGGCGATCACCAGGGCCTGCCCGCCCGGGCAGATCCGACAGAGGACTGATTCTAGCGTGGTAGGACTCTTCTACTCGAAGAGATCCAATTGGGAACGCTTTTCCAGTCCCTTTGTGCGTCACCACGTTGTCTTCTAATTCTATTACCGCCTTGAATTCTCTGAGAGCGTCGGTACCCAGGATCGCATCCACGTGTAATTGGTCAACAACTATGAACGGGATCGTCTTCTCTAGCGAGCCTAGGCGTAGCGGCAAGTTGATGACGCCTCGATTCTTCAGGGAGTGTCCGGAGACGACGTTCAGGCTTTGGGCGTAACCCCTGAGTGGTTCGGTTGACCATTCTATCCGTTTCAGGACTCGGGAGTGAACCAAGCACGCTACAGCACCGGAGTCTATGAGCAATTCAGCGGGAACACAGTCGATGAATCCCGTAGATAGGGCCTTGACCCCTTGAACAGAGGCGATGACACACTTGCCTTCCAGAATGGGTTCTGCCGTCGCCCGCTCTACTCGGGGCTGATCCATCGGCTCGAGCTTGTCCGATTCAGAGTTCGTCCACCGTTCAGGGCCTGCGATCAGATCCACGTAACCGAGCGCTCAGTCTTCCTCCTCAGTAGAGCAGTGAGCTCCCATTGCTTCAGAACGTTGGACGTTGAGGGAAGAATAGTCGAAACAGACTTGTTTCTTGTTGGCAGGTCGCCTGATCTTGCTGGAGCGCTCCCTACATTTCCGGCACGGCGAGCTCCTCTCAGTATTCTTCACGCATATCTCGTCAGCCCCTCGCTCATAGGCTTCTCGTATACCTTTAATTATCTCTTCTCTCAGGACAGGCTCCCTGG